TGTGTCCCTGTGTGTGTGTCCCTGTGTGTGTGTCCCTGTGTGTGTGTGTGTGTGTCTCTGTGTGTGTGTCCCTGTCTGTGTCTGTGTGTGTGTGTGTGTGTGTGAGACAGTAATGACTTGTGTCAGGTAGAGCAGATTATCAGGTATTAAGTGCTCAGTTTAATTGCTGCTCTGTGTTCCAGCAGGCCGCTTCAGCTGGAAACTGTCATTGTTTTGTTATTGTTGTTGTTGTTTGTTTTTTATTTAGAAATTTATTCATTTCATTAAAAACAAAATAACTATATACAACAGAAACAAAAAATATGTATACAATCAAAAACAAAATGAAAGGCAGCAGAAGAATAAATCTTATTTCTGTCCTTTTCTACTCAGAATATGTTCAAACAAAAGTAATTTACAAAAAAACAAAGTTAAATAAAAACATCAACTCAAACAACAGTTTGTAAAGATACACATTATACTTTTCCATATTCCTTCAGAAAACTAACTTTGAACATTTTATTAAATATGTACATAGATTATACAGCTCTACTAACACATGATAAGGAGTCTACCACCGATAAATTGGATGCATGGAAATCGGACATCCAAGATGAGATAGAGGAGGCAGACTGGGAAGCTGCATGTTTAAAAGCTCAAAAACAATCAATTAACACAAGGATGAAACTCCTTCAATACAAATGGTTGATGAGAACCTACATAACCCCAGTCAGGCTGAATCGCTGGTCCCCTGACATTCCAGACAGCTGTACTAAATGTTTAGATGAAAAGGGTACTCTGCTGCATTGTGTATGGAGCTGTCCAAAGATACAGCACTACTGGGAATCAGTTATACAAACTTTGTCTAAGATTGTTAGAGTAAATATAGCTGTTGATGTAAAAATGTGTGTGTTAGTATATACCCAGAGGATTGTGTTTTTACTTCCAGACAGTTAAAATTGATTGACTTTGGACTCCTGCAGGCCAGGAGGTTAATATCTTTGTACTGGAAGAAAATGGATGTACCCTCAAATCATGTGTGGGTGAAGGAGATGGCATCTTGTATTGTACTGGAACGACTTACTTATATCGTCAGAGGTAAAGGATTAGACTTTGAAGAAATATGGTCACCGTTAACTGAATTTCTGAGACATTACAAGGGACAATAATTCAGAAAAGGATGCTTGGAGCTGAGCTTTATCTTATCTTATTTTATTATATAGATATATGCTGTTATTTTATTTTATTTTTATTTTAATTTAGTCACATACATTCATTTATTTTTTTTAAATATTTTTTTTTATTTATTTATTTTTTGTTATATTTGTTTACTTTGGGGATTATGTTGTTTATTGGAAAATAATGTTAATTGTACTATTATCATTTGCTTGTTTTATAAGATAAAAAATCAATAAAAAAAAAATAAAAAAAATATGTACATAGATGTGTCAGTTTTAACATCGTCCTTCAGACCAGTCCTGTTCCCTGAATTGTACTGGACCGCTCCGTCAAACTGGAACCAGACCAGCGCTTCACAAACATCTGTCCCCTTCAGATAATAACCACTGCTTCACAAACATCTGTCCCCTTCAGATAATAACCACTGCTTCACAAACATCTGCTGCCTCCTCAGAGAACTTGAACAAACGTCTCGTGTTTTAGTTTTTCTTGCTGGTTTTTGTGAGTCTTGTCTGACAGGAAGTGAATTTGATCAGTGTCGGAGTGTCGGCTGCTCCTTAAGATGGATTATGTTATTATTTCTAATTAAGCCTCTTCAGTGAGATCAAAGTGACCTCCCCTTCACTTCCCATAATCCTTTTCACCACACGCAGACCGGTTCTGACAGCAGAGCAGATCCTCGGTCCTGAACCTTTCAGGGAAACCCAGAAGAAGTCTGAGTTTCTGTCGGTGATCTGTTGAAGCACAAAAACCAAACATCTGGGTCCAAACTGAGACCGACCTGGACCCAGAACCCGGGTCTGTGCTAGAGGGTTCATCATGATTTGTTGTCGTGGCCCCTCCTGAGCTGTTTGATGTTTCATCAGAGTTTGTTGAGCTGCTGATGTTCACCCTGGAGAACGTTTGGTTTGTTAACGTCCTCCTGACGGGTGGAGACGAGCTGAACAGTTGTGAACTCTGGACCAGAACTTAGGACCAGTTTTTGAAAACCACAGTAAAACTGTGTTCTTGGCCGTGCACATTATTTTGTCTCCCCCCCCCCCCCGCTAAGCCACACACACACACACAGTTAGGCTGCCTTCAGGTCCAGGATCTGTTCAGGGGGTCAGACAGGTCCAACAAGTTCATGTCACATATGAAGAGGCCTGGACCAGTTCTTAATTTGGGTTCTGGAAGAGGTTCTGTGTGTGTTTCCGTGTGAGTCAAATCAAACGGTGCTGGTTCTGCTCCTCCTGCAGTCAGAACATGAAGAACCTTTCTGTTTGAGTCTGTGGCCCAGTTCTGGATGCACCTGTTCTGTCAGACCAGTTCTGGACTGTCACAGAGCTTAAGCCCTGCAGGTCTGGATCAGGGTGGTTCGGTCCGGTCAGTCATCACACTCAGAGGTCAGAGTGACACGCTGCTGGTTCTGCTGCGATATTAAACCGAGCCTCGGATCAGAACATCACGTTAAACGCATCTGAGGAGCTTTCGTCAAAGCGCCCCTCCCTCTGCAGAAAGCACCGTTTGTTCCTTTGATTATCCTGAGCCTCCTAACATCCGGGTCAGTACCGGGTCAGTACCGGGTCAGCCACAGATATTATTGGTTGCATGTGGCTGCAGGGGGGAGGGGGACCAAAACAAAATCCTGTGATGATTTGATTATTTGCTGCGGCTCTGAGGACTAGAGGCTTTGTGCCGGGTCGGGATGCTGACATGGTTCTGATCCTGTCGTGCTTCTGTTCGTCTCCAGGACCATCATGGGCCCCCACGGCATCAGCAGAGCTGTCCACAGGCTGGAGTTCTCCGACTGTAGGAAGGGACTGGGTGAGTACCTGACCCCTGACCCTGCTGTCAATCAGAAGGTTTCTGACCAATCAGAACTCTCCTCTCAGAGGTTAAAGAGTTCTGAACAATCAGAACCTTTCTCTCAGGAGTCAAAGTGATCGGAGGTTACAGAGAGCCGACCGGGGAAGACTTTGGGATCTTCATCAAGAGGGTGATCCCTGGAGGCCTGGCTGCTCTGGACGGTAAGGTTCTGTCTGAAGGTCTGTCCACAGGAGAAAAGCTCCCCACTCACATGTCTGCCTGTCTGTCTGTCTCTGTCTGTTTGTCTGCCTGTCTGTCT